GATGATATCAGGGAAGCTAAGATAAGCGTCCACATTGAACCAAACATCAGGGAAGAACTAATCAAAGCACTTACTGAATTCAAAAATGTTTTGCATGGTCATACGACGATATGCCGGCACAAATTGCCCACTGACCCGGCATTTCCTCTCGTCAAGCAAAATTGAGGAAGTTCAAAACCGACATGAGTGTGAAGATTAAGGAAGAAGTAGCCAAACAACTGAATGCTAAGGTTATTCGGGTCGCTCAATATCCTAATTGGTTGGCTAATGTGGTGCCAGTGCCAAAAAAAAAGATGGAAAAATCCGGGTGTGTGTTGATTATCGCAATCTGAATAGAGCAAGCCCAATGACGCTTTATGTTTAACAGATATCGAAGGAAAATGCGTCGACATGGCTATCAATTCTGACGGGGGCAATTCTTTCTTCTATCCAAATACTTTAACCATTGCTTCCCTTTTTTAGCCTTATTTATTCTTTCATACACCTCTTTTTTGGAATCAGTAATGAAAATGAAAGAAAAAGAGAAGAAAAAACAAATAATGATAATAAAGACAAAAGAAAACTCACAAGAAAAAAAACAAAGGAATTGGGAACTACGTTTGACCTGATTCCTCAAAGAAGGATACGTAGGCGCCTCACGGCTCGGTCATGGTGTAATAAAAAATAAATAAATCCCCAAGCAAGAAAACTGGGGCAGAAGTTGTGTTTGTAATTTTGGGAAGAAAGTTCGATTCAAGAGTTGTAATGTTTTACCCATCAAAATGATTTTGAACCCTCTTGATACCCCTTTTCTTTTAGCCATACACAAAAACCCATATTGATGTCCAAAAAAGACCTCCCGATCAGTATCCAACAAGTGCCAAGTCATGCAAACGGAAGTCGGGAATAACACTCTGATCCCCAGCAGAGAAGAGGATCATAAACTGGAAATGAATTGATAACCGAAAAGAATCCCTAGCGGAGAGAGTCATATCGGCAGCACTCCAATCCCCAGCTGAAAATAAAATAAAATGAGAGAGTCTTATTGGTGAAAATCTTCACAGGCTCCATAAGGAGACGAAAGATGAGAGAAATAAAACGAGAGAGTCTTATCGGTGAAAACCTTCACATGCACCATAAGACTACGGGAGTTGAGAGAAACAAGAGAGTCTTATTAGTGAAAACCCCTCGAAGGGCACTATGAGGC